CCTGCCCTGCCCTCCTTGCCCATGTGTGGCTCTTGGGAACAGGCCGTGGTGTGTACCCTTCTGTTAATCCTTTACACTGGCCACGATAGGGACAGATCAGCAGAGGTCAGCAGGGATTTACTAATATAAGCACATGCCTTCCTGTTGCCATGGAAACAGAACTCTTTTGGTGCCTTTATTTGGCATTTTGTTGCTAGCCGCATTACTCTGGCGCTTGGGGTGGAGGGGTCCCCTTTGTGCCCTGGCCTCAGGGACCTTCTCCATCATCAGCAGGGCCACAACCTGAGCAGGAACCGCATCAGGTTGGGAGCTTGAGCGAAGGTTCCTCCAGCCCGACTGCAGTTGTAGGGCACCTGGGGGCTGCTGCTGGGGAGGCTCCTCTCACCTCCCGGGTGTCGCTGGACTTTTTTCCAGCTCTTGTAGCGAACAGGCCAGGTGAGATATAATTGAAGGGACCTTTTCTCCACAAGCGTGCAGTGCCTTTCATGAAAGATGAAGATCACAGAAAGCAAGGTAGAAAAATGGAAGCCAAGGAACTCAACAGGGTCAGCTCATGCCCAAAAAGTATTTACTGCCTGCAGTATAGGTCATAAATTTAGGAATATGGATAGATGCTATAAACATCAAGCAGTCTTTTTGAAAATATATGATTAAAAGAAGAGTGGAATATGCCCAGGTCTTGTGTGGTGAAATTTGTTAAATATAAATAGAAGTGCTAAGCATGGAATGGGGCAGTTTTTCAGAGCTCAGAACTTGTTACTTGTCACATTGATATTGTCTGTCTGAATTCAGAAGCAAACAAAATTCCCCCTTTTCTGTGACCTTCTCTCCTTTTGATGGACGTATCATGTTTGCTGGACTCTGTGCAGAAATCATATCACTCCATAGAGTGGCATATATCTAACTTTTAAGTTCTGTTGTACATCTAATGGGAGATTAAAACATTCAAAGCCTTAAATACTTTACAAGCTCTGTGTGACAGTGTATACTTGTATCTATACGTTGGACAAATTGATACACAAAGTTGAAGTAACGTTTTTAAGCTCACATTAATTTTTTGCCAGGTCTGGGAAGAATCTTCTGGCAGCCTCACTCTTCATCTCATTCCCCTCCTACCTGTTGTTGTAGGCATCTGTCTGCCAGGTTGAGAGTGACAGCATGAAAATGTTCCTTGCGTTGATGAAGATGTTATACTAAGCCTCTCCTGTGAGGCCAGCTATGTTCTCACCTTGAGGGTACCCATCATCTGTCACTGTTTCCCAAGGCTTTTAAAAAACAACCTCTTGAAAAAGGAAAAGCAAAAAATACGAGTAATCCCATCTCCCAAGCAGGGAAGTAATAAGCTGGCCTACCTGCCTTGTCACCTGTACGGTCTTAGCAACTCCCTGTGGCAGCCTCTGATAAAACCTTCTCGTGCCTGCAGTGCTAACAGACTATCAGAATGGAGAGGGGAACGTGTGAAGGAAGTTATTTCATTGCAAATCACGTTGGGGGGAAATTACTGTTTGCTTAAATGGAGATTAAACTGTTTGCGCATTTCAAACCATTGAGACTTCAGGACATGTGTGAGATAGTGGGGAATAACCAAGGCTGGGGGTTTTGGTTGTGTTCTAAAGGAAAAGACAGAAATCTTGCTGCAGTTCTCTGCAAACCCCCTCCCGCCCTGTCCTTCCCACTCCCCACAGCTCTCCTCGCACGCGGTGCAGCCGTGTCCTGTCTGGGCTTCCTGCCGCGGGACGGTGCTCAGCAGGGAGGTGGAACTGCAGATCTCAGTTGCCAAATCCCTCATTTGGTTCTGATTCGTTTATGTGTGGGTAGAAAACTGGCTGCTGCAGCTGCTCTTAGATAAGTTTATTTAATAAAAGCATAAATCTCCTGTGTGTTCTCTAGTTTGCCTGGAAGTTACTGTAGGTAGTAGAAAATACTGTGTGGGGCTTGTGTCTGACAAGTGCAGCATTTTCTGTTGACCACATGTATATTCAGAACAGTCAAGTAGATTATTGGGTACACTGCATTTCATCATAACTTCTGAAAGGATGAAGGGGAATATTATTATGTATTTTTTTCTGGATAATAGGCATCTAAATGTTAAATATTAGAAACTGATCTGGAAGATTCTGTAAGAATTGTTGAACTAATGAAATCACAATATCCCTAGCAACAAAAGATTTGCTTCTGAGAAACAAAAGTGAAGAGATTTTTAACTACAACTATTTATTTCCACTAGTAAACAAAGACTTTGTGGAAGAAAGACTGTGCTAAGGGCTACCTTTTCCTCTCTATAATCCCATGCAAGAGTCCAAAATGTTTGCATAAAACCCTCAAAGATTCTCCAATAAATTCTGCTGTAGCTTTTCTAATGTTTGAGTAATAGATATCTATTAAAGTTGATTATTAAAACAGAACCTGGTAGTGGAGCTCGTCATAGCTCTCTGTTTGCCTTAAAGTGATACAAAAGGTCATAAACCCCATCTTTTAGGGAAATCCTTTGTCAGCTACCTTTAAAGTGTAAAACCAGACTTGCCCTGCCAGAGCCCAGTGAATGCTTTATATGTGGCTCTATTAGCCTTTGAAGTTCCCCCTAATCCACCCCTAAATGCCTGGAACATGTTCTTCAAAGAAGCTGTAATGCTCTCCAGTTTCATTTCAGAGTAGGGTTGCAGGAGTGTATGAGGTAATTTTTTTTTTTTTTTTTTTTTTTTTTTACACCCTTTTTCACTTATTGAATGTCGCAGATTAGTATTCCTCATGTGAATCAGAGAGGAAAAATCCAGGATAGTATTGTTAATCCAACAGCAATTTCCTTTGTCAGAATTGATAAACAGATTTTGTCATTCAGTGACTTCTTTGACCTATCTTTGCCATTTTCATAAAATAGTGTAGTTTCAATGACATGCTTTCATAGCTGATGCTTATCATCATTTCTGAGTAGCATTTAGACTGTCGTCTTAGGAACAGAAAACTCTGCATGTAGCCTTTGAGATGACTCTAAGCTGTCCACACTAGCAATGCTCCGTGGCTGTTGAGGCTGTTTCTTTGGGGATAGGGTTTGCTGCACATCGGAGCAGTCATGTTGCATATGCAGTGCACTTGGTCTCTTTTTTTGTCACAGGTTTTGCTCCTGGTCTCCCAAAGCGCAGGCAGTGCCTGGTTACTCATTAAGTGCACAAAGGCTCCTATCTCCTGCCTCCTAAAGCTCTTTTGCGGAGTAGTTTCCTGGGCTCCCCACGCTAATTGCTAAAGAGATTCCAGGCAGATTCCGTCATCCTTGTTTTCTGCCTGACTGGGAATGTGAGAATAAAAGGGTTGATGGCAGAATAATGCGATCGCTGGACAGTGCAATGCACAGCAGCTCGCCCCAGCATCACGTGAGGGAGGGGAGAGCAATGGAGATGATGCTGGAAAGAGAAAGGTCTGTAAATCCCTGAACACCCTTGCTCCCCATCAACACTGCCCCTTAAAAGGAGACTTTGAAACACTGCAGTCTTTGGTGGGAGGCATTAGGGGGAGGTCAGGGCAGGGGCAGCCTTTTGTAAACCAAAGTCCCCTATAAACCCCTTTCAGGCCCTCTAGCCGGATGCCTCCACCTTCCCCTACAAAGAGGCTGAGGAGCTGATGGGCAGTGAGTTGACAGAAAACCAGTGACACAGATTAACTAGCGGGTGTGTAGAAGCTGCACCGGAGCAAGGCAAACATGCCCAAAGATGGCCTGGGATAATGATGGCATGAATGAGGGAATGGGGAAGGGCGGCTGTGACGTGATGCTGGGGCGTGTGGCCTGGCACAGCCCTGGCCAGGAGCACGGCGCGGGGCAGCGAGCGGGGCGCCCACGAGCTGCCCGCTCCCCTCCGGCAGTGAAGCCATGCGCCGGGCCCATGGGTGCGGGTGGAAGGCAGCGCCAGGGCAGAGGGACAATGACGCAGTGGCATCTAAAGGGAGAGTTAAATGCTATGAACCCTAGATATGCAGTGTCAGGCTGGGTCAGGATCATCTCCTCAGGAATAGTAGCTATTTCCCAGATACTATTTGCTCTTTCTTGAGCTTTATCTCTCCTTTGTGGCTGGGTGGTTTGTTTATTTGCATTTTCCATAGGTGTTTCCAAAGCATCTGCTGTGTAAATGTTTGCAGTTATCTGTCTGTAGTTATCTACATGTTTGCAGTTATCTGTCTGTAGTTATCTACAAGTTTACGTGTTTCCTAGCACTTATGCATGAGTTGGTCTGCAGTTCTGTGGCTTCTGTCTTATGTATCCTGCAATGGTAAACAGCAGAGCAAAAAAATCTAATATCAGAAAATTGCAGTGGGTTGGAAGGGTAATGTCTGCTGCCTTTATGGGGAGACATTCCATTGCCTTTTCTTCAAAGTGCTTTGCATTTGTAAAACATCATCTTAGCTTATCACCCCTCCAAACCTGAACCTCCACTGTGGGAAGCATTCAGGAGCTTGCCACATTTCAAAGGAAGCAAACAATCACTTTTACCATTTACTATTTTTATTTTACTTCTTTTGAAAGTGTGTAACTTTGTCGCTGAATCCAGAGTATACATCCTTCTAATATAAAGGCAAATATCTCCTGTTCCCTAGGCTACTCCCCTTGAATAGTCAGATCGTTTCACAAAATAAATCTGATGGAAAAGAAATGGGGGTTCCCCATGTCCTTTCACAAGACAAACTTTTGATTCTCTGGTATGATTCTCTGGTATCCTTCTAGGTACTGGATAGAGCAGCCATTGGTGTGGAATTTATGTGGGTGACCTCTGAAACATGCCTAGTGCTTGGCAGAACAGCTCCCTCCTTTGGGGCTACTGACTCGGACTAACATAAAGTCTCTTTTCTCAACAGGTGCTTCATGCTCCGAGAACGCTGGTAGCTGTTCCTCCTCGCCGTGTGAAAATGGTGGCAGCTGTAGGGATTTGGAAGGGGGTTACCAGTGCGCCTGCCCCACGTGGCCGGTCGCGTACACAGGGGTAAACTGTGAGCTCCTGTACGACGCGTGCGTTAGCCACGAATGCCCTGCATACATGGTTTGCCACGGGACTCTGGGACGCCTGGAATATGAGTGCGTCTGTAGGCCTGGCTTCACAGGTACTGATTGTAACGTTGATGTTAATGAGTGTGAGAGCAACCCTTGTAAAGATCCTCGTTTTGAATGTGTAGATAGTGTAAATGGATACACCTGTAAATGTCAAACAGGACTGAATGGAGAAGGCTGCCAAACAGAAAGCTCTGTATGCTCTAGCCACCCCTGCCTAAATAACGGGACCTGTGTCGAGGGTCCTGGCGACTATTCCTGCATCTGCCAGCCTGGCTTCAGCGGGGCCCTCTGCAGAGACAACATTGATGAGTGCGCGTCCAGCCCGTGCCAGAACGGAGCCATCTGCCGAGACAGGGTGAATGAGTATAGCTGTTTCTGTGTGCCGGGGTTCCAAGGATACAACTGTGAAATAGACATCAACGAGTGCGCGTCCCGGCCCTGTAAAAACAATGGCACCTGCCTGAATGAGATGGATCACTATTTGTGCCAGTGCGTCCCCGGCTACACAGGTACCTTTCACGCTCATGTACTAGCCGGGTGGTTGGGTTACATCTCACTGTTCACACAGCTCCACAGGGCGCCTGCTGCTCACTTGTCTACTGAAGGTGTTAGTGTCTGGCCTGAGAAGCTGTTACATTAAGGCCCTGAAACTTAAATGTCTGCTGCATAACTCCAATTTCTGAAGTGTGCAGTACCGTGTCAGTAATGACATAGTGCTTGCTCTTGTGACTTTCAGGCACTAGATGAGCTTTGATTTCCATGTTGAGAAAAACAGATCCAAGAGTGTAAGTGGGAACTGGGTGAGACTGGATATAATGTAGATGTGATTAGTCTTCAGGCTGAAATTAAGGAAGATGTACAAGAAAAGAGATTTATCATCAGAAAGATGGTGTTTGTTTACCAGTATGACAAATCTCTGTCTAGCTTGTAGTCCTTTATCCTGTCCTGCAGGGTTTCTCAAAGTAGTCTTTTTGGAACAAGGTAGCTTTAGTTGGGGATTTCTTTTTAACACCTCCAGGTCCAGAGTATTTTGGTTTTGCATGTGATGCAAGGATCTGGCTCCTGTGTGCGAGTGCTAACGGTGTCTCGGAGTTATCTGCGAGGGAGGCAGCAGGAGGTTCTCCCTGCCTCTTATCGGAGTGGAATGCCGTTGTGCTGCGCTCCGCTCTGCCTGGTACCACTTAGCACATGAACTTTCTCAGCCTCCCTCCTTGTCACAAACTGAAGTGTTGCAAGAGTTAGGTTGCTGTGAAGGAATGCTGCTGATTAGCAGTGGAATGAAGAGAAGTTACAACATCAGGAATGCAGTCACTGATGCTGAATCATTCCCCCTCTGATAAAAAAAAAGAACAGAGGTGAGGAAGAAAACCACAGACTTTCTTCATAGACCTTAAAATAACTACTGATTTTGATTATCAAACATAATGCTGCCTATACAGATCAGTGCTTTTTTCTCTCTTTCTGCTAAATAATCAGTTCAGGATTGTGGAAATACCCTGCCAAAGAGGGGATAAAATGGCCTAGGCAACTGGAGGAGCTTGCCATATTCCAAGTTATTTCGATGTCAAATATAAGGCTTTGCTTTGTGATCTAGTGCTTCACCCTGATCTCTGCGGTTCTAGCACCAGCAGTTAGCAAGGGCAGGTTGTTTCCTGGGCTTGCAGCTGGAATTTGGGTGAAGGAAGCATTGACGAGTTTGAACCAGCAGATTAGGGGGCCCGCATTCCTCCAGGATTAGGATGGCCACGTCCACTACGTGGTGAGCCTTTGCCAGGAAGGGGGGATTAGGTGGATTGGCAGGTGCCACTGCAGTGACTAATGTTTGGAGGTGATGTCAGGCCATGGGCAACCCAAAGAGATGGAGTATAGGAGGGTAGTTGCATAGGAGTTCTTGTTCTGTCAGAGAAAGTTGTGACTTTGGAGCAAAATGCATGACTTTCTGTTGGCGAGTAATGTTGGAGCTAGTGCCTAACCTTTAATAACATTTCATAATATAATGCTTACTAATATGTAGTATCACAGTAATTAGCATTTTGTACCAATTTAATGTTTTTTTCCTAGGGATCTCAAAGCCAAGTTACAAATACTATTTAAACAAATGAAACAATATTTTGGAGAAGGTAGAGATCATTTTGCATAGCCAAAATGCAGCTGCTTGTGATGTAGAACACTGGATCTGATTCATCTGCAAAGTGCTGATGATACTTTGGCTGCTTCAGCAAACCTGAACGAAAGAAACTGAAGCTTCATAAATAAAATGAACTATTTACTTTTGTTATAAAATTAAAATTTAAAAGTCTACCTAAAATAATTTTGTCCCTACTTTGTAAACATTGTATATCATCCATTAATTTCTTGTACCCTTATGGCTGTGTCAGCCGGTTAAGTTGGTAACATGGCTTTTGTGATTCCAGCTCAGCATTCCAGGCAGCACACTTACACTTTGTTGGATTCATAACCCACATGTTTCTTTCTTTTGTAATCAAGGTGTAAACTGTGATGCTGAAATAGATGAATGTGAGTCAGAGCCTTGCCAGAATGGGGCCTTGTGCAGTGATCATGTTGGGTTCTACAGCTGCGCCTGTGCAGCAGGTTACCAAGGAGTGCAGTGCGAGGAGGACATCGACGAATGTGCGAGCCAGCCCTGCGAGCACAACGGGACCTGTCACGACCTTATTAACAGGTGAGAGATCAGTGGTGTTTTGGCAGTTAGATATTAGGAATGATCTAAACTTGTGCTTACTGTAACCTGTCAAAATTAGGGTAAAAATCCGCAGGGTGGATTGGATTTAGTGCATTCTACATCCCTGTGGTCCCACTGGCAATAATTCAGAGAGGGATTTATGGCAGTAGACCCCTCCCACTAGCAGAACTCTTCGGATGCTCAAAGGAGAGTAGGAAGATTGCTTGCATTGCTTCCAGCTGGCATATTAGGTACAAGGTGGAGCGTTATCAGCAAAAGCAACTGCCTGCCTAGGCTGAGAACATACCTATCTGTCTGAATTTACCTTTTAACAGGTAAAGGGTGAGTTCAGAGGCTCTGCTGGAATTGATCTGCTCTGCCACTAGCGTGCCCTCTTGGAGCACATGGAACCGTCTTTCCCTCTGTCCCACAAGTGGATACGAGGACTGACAGCTCTATTTGCTCTCTCCTCAACAAATTAAGAGCTTCTTCATTGCTCTGCTTTGCTGCCCCTCAGCTACCGTTGTGACTGCAGTGACACAGGCTTCGAAGGGGACCACTGTGAGGTGGATATTCTGGAGTGTGCCTCTGAACCCTGCCTGAACAGTGCCAGGTGTGTGGAGGGGATCAAGAACTACAGCTGTATCTGCTGGCCAGGTAGGTTAGAGAACTGTTTTGCTCTGCTGTTGTCTGAGCACACTGCGGTGGGAAGCACATGCTGAATCACCCCACTGAAGAATGAAGAGTCAGTGATCATGCTGCATGGTCCAGTGTGATTTTCTTTATTCCAAGCAGTAACGCTGCCGCTGCTGCCCTTTAGAAGCTGTCCCAGGAGCCAGCTGACCTTGTTGCTGGGAAATGTATCCTGATTCTCATCTGTAAAATCTCTCTTCTGTGCTCTGCCTTTTCCATCATGCTCTTTTCTATCACGTGCTAATGCTTTTCTGGAAATCAGTTGTCTAGCACCTGCCTTTGACATACTGAAATAAATAGAACTCTAGGATTTCCAACTAGCTAAACGACAATGTTTCTGGCTCTGATTTCACCTTTAAGGCAGCTGCAGTATTTGGGTGACTAGTGTCAGTGAAGCTGTGTGTGATGCTCATCCTGCTGCTCCCCGGCAGGTTACACGGGGCAGCGCTGCGAGGAGGATGTGGACGAGTGTGCTGCAGGTCCCTGTCACAACGGAGGGGTGTGCTATGAGCGGTCCAACCAAGCCTATTACGGAACACGGCCTGACTTCCCCAGTGATTTCAGCTACAGCCAAGCAGCTGGTTTCCTTTGCTGGTGCCAGCCAGGCTTTGCAGGTGAGTTGCACATTAAATGTCCCATCTGTCTGCACCTGATGGAGATTGCCAAGGAGGTTGGAATGGAGCAGTATTATCTGTGCAGAAGAAAATACTTAGTGACTGGTACTTGGAGGAGGCACAGCCTGAGGCATCAGGGGCATGCGCATGTTCATGTACTGTGTGTGTTGCAGGCAGCTGTCTGAGTGTCGTTCTCTGCCAGCAAGCCTCCCTTAACACCCCCTTTCACTAGCTGAGGCAATAGGCTCTGCCATTTCCAAGTGCTCTGAATACCCTATGGCTATGAAAATGCCAGGGTGGATTCTCTTTGTCAGTCTGTCATGCATGTGGCAGAATTCATTCCTACAAGATAACTGAAACACGCCTCATCAGAGGCAACTAATGCCCTGGAGTCCCAGATAACTGTCCTACGTGTTCCCTTGGTGAGACTGCTCTTATGACAGCAGCTGTATAATCAGAGTGGGTAGGAGGAGAGGGGGGATCTTGATATCTTACTCTTAGAGTTAGAAGCTCTGTGGATGTTCCACCGAAATATTGCCTTTCCTCTCATTTGTCAAATATTTATACAAGCATTGATTTAACAGCTGGGAGAGGCTCCCTGGAAGCAGGAGTTAATACTTCATTCCTTTCTGAGAGAAGTGAGAATTTGGTCCATTGTTGTACAGTTGGAATGGCTAAAAGGTTCTGATCCTGCCACTACTTACTTTCATGACATTGGCAAATCATTTGGCTTTTAATTATTTCATTTTGCCTTATTCTTTTCAGTCAAAGTATCTATATATTAGAGTGTCTGGATAAAGTTCAAGTAATTCTTTTGCATGCTTAAATGACAGATAAGAACAACAAACTACAAATGTAATTGTTATTCAAATTCCCTCCTCTCTGATGCATGTATGCCCTCAAGATGGCTATTTGTGTTTTCACGTTAAAAGGGGACACCTGCTCTACTAACATTGATGAATGTGAATCCCAGCCGTGTCAAAATGGAGGGCACTGTGTGGACCTTATTAATGGCTTCCTTTGCCACTGCCCACCTGGATATTCAGGTAACGTTGCTGAAAGGGGGTGGCTTGGGTGAGGTCAGTCCTGGTAACTGATGCTGAGGGCCTGGCTTATTGCTCAGCTGCACGACTGGATTCCAGCACTGGCTGCCATGGGCAGCTGAACAGAACTGAGCTGAACTGTGTGGAGCTCAGGTGCTGCTCAGGTCTGTTCAGGACTCAGGTGGCTTGGGAAAGCTGGGTGGTTTTGCTGAAGTACTTGATAGGCTCCGAAGTAGGTTGTGACACACATGTTGAAGAGCCCAAGACCAGCCTAGGTAGGCAACCTGTATCCTGGAGTGAAAGTTCATTGGGAGAACATGTTATGAAGGTGAACAAAATTAGGCTTCAAATAAAAACAGATACACGCAGAAAAAGGTGTGCTTAAAATTCTGGCTGTCACCAGTTTACTGAGTATAGCAGATTGGATTACCAATACATAAGACATCTGTAAAACATCTCTGTTCCCTAACACCCCTGGATGATAAGAGCCAGGGATTTTTGGCTGAAGGCAGTAATGTGGTACGGTAAGAGGTCAAAAGGTCCCTGTGATGTGAGCAGATGAAGCCGCCTCTGTTTACAGTGGACTGGGGAGTCTGGATTCTTCCAGAATGCCCTGCCTGACCCTGACAGGTTTGGGTTTCCTAGCCGGGAAGCAGTGACACGGTGAGGCTTGCCACAGGTTTGGGTTTCCTAGCCGGGAAGCAGTGACACGGTGAGGCTCACCCACCGGCTCTGCTGGAGGGGGCGCAGCCATTCGTGCTAAAGGTGGACGTGGCTGGTACTTCCTGAGTATTCCCCAGTGTAAGTGGAGAGAAGATAAAGTGTCACAGGTATCTTCCTGTGTCAGAAGATAACTAGCTATTCCAATAGGTAGGTCCTAGCTAGCAGAGCAAATTTTTCTTTTTTCCCTCTTTACTCTGTCATTTTTTATTATACATGCCTAATGCTAGTTCACAAAGATATAATGATTTATTTTACATTATTGCCATGTTCATTAGCTCAGCATAAAAACCGAGAGGAATGTCTTCTAACAAATAACCCCTGCACCACGGTGTGCAGCTTCTCTCTGCCTGGCAGAGATTACTTTGGTACTGGTTTGTGAGCGCCCTTCGTTGGAGCTGCGGTTCCTGGGACAGATTTTCTTGTTTCCATGCTTGACTGATGCTAAACCTCATCTCAGTTTAAAGTGTTTGTACTCTGCCTTCTGTGTCTTTTAACTGTGTGCATACTCTTCGTTTCTGTTAATTTGATACCAAAAAGTAGTTTATAAGAAAGGTGCTCCCCAACACAGTCTCATACCAGTGTAGTTTTGAAGCAGGTGTGGCCTTTCCGCAGTGTTGCTGCCATCTCGTGGGAGAAAGAAAAACTTAAAGCCAGGAGAAAGCTTTGTCCTTTAACTTCTTGGAAGAGGAGGCAGTGGCTTTCCTTAGACCATTCTAGGGCTGGATTGAAGGGAAAGTTTTTCATGTGCCTTCTGTGGCTGTACTGATGGAGCTGTGCAGCCGTAAACCTGCAGCCCTTTCCTGGGAAGACCCAGGACAGAGGTCCTGTCACTCCCAGAATCTCAGCCCAGCTCCTGGCTAGCACATTCCAGCACTCAGGTGAATTCCTCGAGGGGTTCGTGGTAAATCCTGTTTGCTCACTACCTCATTTAGGCTAGGTCAAGAAAGACTTGTTTTTGTGGGTGAGGCTTTTAGCACTGGCTTTTCTCTAAGCTCTGCATTGGCACTGTACTGAGCGCTGTGCTCCAGAGGGGAGATGTCCAGATGAGATGGTTTGAAGCTTATCCTACTTGTCGAAATTCCCACTCCCCCCTGTGCCCATTTTGCTTTCCCTTTCCAGTGTGCCAGCATCCCTCGTGGAGCACAGCTCTCGCTTCACTTTACCAAACTGCAGGGCTGTTGAATCCACTCTGAGTCTTAGTTTGCTCCTGGGCAGAAAAGCTGACATTCAGCACAGGATGGTGGGCAAAGGAGAGCTGGAGTTCATTCCTTGCCTTCAATTTTGGGTTCATTAGTACTTGAAGGGGATTAGAGGCAGGTTGCTCTTCTGGATGTTGCTTTTGGTAAAGGACTTTGTCTTAGCGAGGTGGTTCTGACACGTTAACGCGGCCAAAGGCTGGGAGCCGTCCCCGAGATCAGTGAGGGCATGTGGAGGAGTGAAGCTGACAGGGAAATAATAGCAATTAATCTCCTCTCCTTTGTCAATTAATCCCAGTATAGTCATGCTGGGTAAACAGCTTATTACTTCATATTAGGATCACAGAGCAAGTTTGTGAAGCTTCCCATGATGTTTCTGTTCCAAACACATTTCTGTGGCAACTTAGCTCTGCCATGAACTTAGACTTAAGCTGCCTCCGCTGATTAAAGTGAACTTGCTACTCTGAAGAATGCTTTCTTGGGGCGGCAGGAGGCTCGCACTGCTTCTTCCTTCATCTGAGGAATCCGGGGAGTGTTGGGATAACAGTAGGTCAGGTCAGGAGAAAATCTTTCCTTGCAAATTAACTACTTCAGTCCTGCCTCAGCGTTGCAGGGAGATGAGATGGGACTTCCCCTGAAATGCAGTTGTCCCCAGAATAATGTGGTGCCTCATTCCTGAGAGAGGTTGTAGGAGGCCCTGGAAAAGCTGTGCCGTGCGCCGGCCTGGGCTCGAGCTGTGCCCGGCGAGGGTGTAGGGGGTGCGGAGCATCGTGGGGCTGCGACACGAACAGAGAAGGGGGATGAATCTTGGGTGGTCTTGGAAATGCCAGCTGCTGTGGTTCATAGAAAAAGCTTATTAAGGAGAAGCTAGTCTTTAAAAAAATAAATAAGAACAGAATGCATTATTTATTCATAGGAATGGTTCTGCCCATCATGTTTGTTTGAGGCAATGGTTTAGGCTAGGAAGTGAAAAAAAAAAAAAAAAAGACTTCAGTTGGAATGGCAAGGGACTCTTAGCCTAGAAGAATGTAATTATTAATGTGCAGTTTGGCTAGTTCTTTCCTGCTGGCCAAACTCATGTAGGCTTGAATTTCTTGGTCATGGGCTAAACATAAATTCCTGTGAAATAAGGGGGAGATAGTTCTTCCTTCTGACCATCATTGGATAGAATTATTTATTTGTTCATTTGTTTTGTGCAGGTGTTTCCAAATTTCAGGTTTGTTTTAGAGATGGGGCCTCCAGAGAAATGGTAGCTAAATAGTTAACATAGTAACAAGATTAGAGGACTGTTAGCCCTTGGACAAAATCCCTTGTAGTAAATACAGCTGAAGGGGAGGTAGAAAATACTTCATGAGACCCCCCTTCCTTCTGTGAGGTGAAGGACTTCTGCGTGTGTGCTGTAGATAGCAGCAACAAGGCTTGGTTCGCAGATCCTCAGCAAAAATGTGTAAGCCATTAGAAGAGTTTAATAGATTTTGTCTTAAGAAAGGCATATATGAGAGCTCCCTTCATAGCCCTGTAGTTAATCAGACCGTTTAATGGTCAGCAATTCTGATAATTTAAAATTGACTTCTTTACTAATGAAAATTGGTGAAGTGCAGCTTCGTGTCCGCTTCAGAATCCAGCAATTCTGATAATTTAAAATTGACTTAAAATGAAAATTGGTGAAGCGCAGCTTCGTGTCCGCTTCAGAATCTGGCCAGGCAAATACCAAGGCAGAGCAGTATCTCCTGTGCACAGGTCTGGCCACTGCTGTGCTCTGAGGGCGTCTTACCAAGACGTGACTTCAGCTGCTAATTTCTATCTAAGAAACATGTATGAAATTTGGACACTTCTATCCAAACTTCGCTCTCCATTTTCTGACATTTTGCTGCTAAGGACCCTCTGAGATATCTTGTATTCTTTATCTCCTGCTCATCCAATAAGTTTTTACAAATGATTAGGAATTCTGAGAAGTTTTGAGGCTAAATGAATGCTCATCATATCCCTCCCACTTAAAATATCTTTGAAATTGTCTGGTATGTTTGGATTGAGTGAAGCGAAGAAAGTTAACTAGCTACAAGAGTTGCTGGAATGCTTTCTTTTAATATCTTAAAGCGATACTGCTAATGCAGATTCTTGACGCTGCCTTGTAGGAGTTCTTGTTTGCTTGGACCTGACACTGATGCTATCGCAGCCTGGAGAGTGTTTTCTTCCAAAACCCGATTCACAGAAAAACAGAAATCCCTTTTTGGCCCTGCTGCCTGTAGGCTCTATTCTGGAAGCTGGCAGCGTGGCCCGGGAGGGGGCAAGGGCAGGAGATTGCCCCTTGACTTTCCAGTGGAGCTAATGCTGCGGCTGCGGCAGGGCTTTGCTGTGCGCGGGGTGGGCTACGCTGCGAACACGCATTCCTCGTGTCAGCACTGACAGGAGCCAGCTGGGCAGCTTTAGAGCAGGGTGGATTAGATCTCGCTGCAGCGCAGGTCTCTTATATTGGCTAGTTTCATCTCCAATCCCTTTTTGCCTGCCTGGCATCAGGGAGCGCTCACGCACATTCCGCTCTTTCAGTCCAGCCATTTGGCTGTTCCCCCCCACCATTCTCCCCCATTTTTTTCTATTACTGTCACCAATGTCCACAAGGAGTCGGCCATGAAATCTGTGCTGATTGGCGTGATCCTGAATGGAATTTTTCTGCTAGCAGGTAACGAGATCTATACGGTAATTGCAATGTGTCCTGGCTGTTTGCGTGCCTGCACAGGGCAGGGAGTGATTAGTGGTAGCTGGAGGCATGAGGAGAAGAGCAAGAATTCAGTAGAAAGGAAGAATGTTTTTATTTTGAGGAGACCTGAAGTTTTGTTTTGGAAACCTTAGGGCCCAGGAATTTCCTTGTTGCTGCAAGGTGAGCCCTGGGCTGTCAGCGTGTCCCAAATGCATCTTTGCTACAGTTCTGCCCTGCTTGGGAAAGCAGGATCCGGTTTGGGGGTTTTTCCGGGGCGTATGTCCTTACCTTGTGCTCAGGTGCGCTTTGGAAACACGCCGATATCTGGGGTTAGTTCTGCAAAGCACTAGTTTAGCTTTTTACAGAATGTTTTGGCATTTTCCCCTTTTCCTTTGGTGATTTAGAACTCCTTTGCTGTGAAGTAGCTTTTGCTTTTGCTGGGAGGACAAACCCTCCGCCAGCGCCTCTCCCCCTTCGTCCCCGTCTCCCTGAGCGCGCGGTGGGAGAGAGGTCAGAGCGGGTGTTGCCATGGAAATGGCAGGAATGGTGCAAATATAATTGTGTCGGTCCGTTTGTTGCTGCTAATTCTCTGTGTCTTTCTCGCTCTCCCCCTGCCCCCTCCCCTCCTTGCCTTGGCCCTAACAATAGGAACCTCATTAGGATGCAGCAGGGAAGGCTGCCAGGAATGCGGGGCTTGGGGAGAGGGGAGCCGGGCCCGGCGCCCCGCTGCCCTCCCAGCCCCGGGAGTTGATGGCAAGGGCCCAGGGACTACCTGGTACTCCAAGCTCTTCTGCTGGGCTAAATTACAATCTCCTTTGTGTTGTTTTCTTCTTTTGTTTGTTTGTTTGACGTACATACCTGGTGAATTATATGATTCCTGTAGTATGCATAATGAATCTTTGCTCATTAATAGCAGCAAATAATTACTTTCAGAGGATGGCAGAGTATATGAATTTTAATAACACTTGCATCTATGAAATAAGACTGTTCTTGTCACATTGATAATGCTTTAGAAATACTTCTGGGAATAGGTGCGTATGGAAAGGCTAGAGGCTTCACCCTGGTAATGCTCCAATACTGGAGGCTATTCAAGCTTAGCCAGGTCTTGAGTGTCTGTTTCTAACCCAACTCTTGTGGTTTGAGGACTGTTAGCTTGAACACTGCCAAATTAACTGGAGTATTTGACAATAATTGTGTGTAGATAGCAGCATTTTAAGTAGCACTTGTCTGATTTGCAGATAACAATCTCCACTGCTTTTAACAAAAAGAAGAAACTCATTACATGTTTTAAAGTCACCTAATGATGTGGCGAATTAGATTGACGACATAGCTCTTAATATTGATAGTCCAAACATTAATAAAGATTTGAGCTAAAAGATATAGTGGGGACAGAGAACACTTGCAGAGTAACTTCTCAGGTAATATGGAGTCTCCTCCTTTTTTTAATTTCTGAGAAGGAATGCCTAAGCTTCTCATAGAGAAATGAAGTACTTTAGATGTCTTTAATACCTGCTTTCCAGTGGGTTTGCAAAGACACAACTGTCCATGTTTTGGGGAAGATTGGAATAATGGGAACAATCCAAGAAATGATCTGCACTTCTTCCTACGGTAATGGCCTAAAGCAAAAATCTTGTTATTCTGGAGTGGGGAAAAGTTCCTTCATTTCCCTTTGTCATTTATACTCTGTCATTTTCTGTCAAAACCCAAAGTTACAGACCCTGCTGCTAAGCTGAAATTAGCATCTAGGGAGCAATATGCAACAGAAATTTCTTTCCTCTGTCTTATTTTGGTGTAACTGAAGAATTTGAAAACCGGAGATTTTCAAATGAAAATGACAGAAATCCCTGGTGACAATGGAGCAGGTGAAGGCAGCAGAGCTGGCGGATGGAGGGGGTGGTGTGATCAGCACGGGGTATATAAGGAGTTAGTGAGCGGTGTTGCGCTGGGTGACGGGTGAGCCGGAGGTGACACTGCTTCCAGGAAAATTGGGTGTCAACCAAATTTTTAGAGCTCTGGCACCGTCTCCTCTGCTATTGGTGTGTTTTCAAAAGTGCTCCAAGCTCCACTCTGATGTTGTGCTGGTTTCTATGAGGGTAAAAATACATTAGACATTGTTTTAGAGGCTTTTCCTTCTCCTGCCTTAGCCCTGTGCAGGCTGGCTGCTTGCTGGCAGAAGCAATGACAGTGATGAAGATGATGCTTGTGTTCCTGTAGGAAGAGCTGTCCCCCTTCCTTTCTCCTGCCGAGCACCTCCCTTTCCTCTCTGTGAGCCGGGAGGTGAGACAGCAGTGTGTAGAGAGCTGAAGTGTCAGCTTATTCTTTTCACCCTTTTGAAACAAGTAATCTAGAAATCAAACCAGCTGTGTCCCAGGGGAAAGCTTGGTGTTTAATTAGCCACCAGCTTGGGGTTGTGCACTCACCATAGGGACTAATTTGCCACCTGGTAAGGAGCGCGCACCCCGCCGGTGCCAGCTGCGAGGCCGGGAAGCGGCGGAGCAGGTGTTGGTGCTGCCGCCCCGCGCTCGGAGCCCGCTGGCCGGAGGGGCTGCCGCCCAGGCGGGAATGTGCGGTGGGAAATGGGGCGCTCTCCTCCCGACCAGATGGCACCTGCCTCCCCAGCACTGCTCGGTGTTCGCAGAGAGTCAGAAATTCACTGCGTGGCCGCTTCTGTTATCTGAACCTCTGGGATCTGCTCCTCGTTGCCCTGCCAGTAGCAGCAGCCGTGCACGGTGAGCAGGCAGCGGGTGGTCTGTGCGCTTCCTCGCGCAGGCTCCGATCTCCAGTGGGCAGCATCTAAGGGATTTGGGACTATAATGACCCTAACTATATTCCCAAAGCCGTTCAACAGCCTCCATCATGTGTGACTCCAGTGTGACTCTGACAGTGTTGAGAGCCCTCCAATCCACTGGTAACTCAGAAAACCTGCAATTTCCTAATTCTTGTTGAAGTCCTCCCCTCTTCTCCCAGACTGGGATTCCAGCCTCGCTTCTTTCTTTGCTACCTCTGTTGTCACAGCAGGTGAGATCAGAGCCCAGGGCTGCGTGCTGAGCAGGCCCTGCACGGTCACTGGAAAAGAGTGGTGTCGAGGTCCTTCTAGCAACACTGGCTCTGATGGACACATCAGCAAAGATCTTCCAGGAAGAGGTTACTGGCTGAAGTCAGTACTTTTCCAAGATACTACCCACTTCTCTTCTGGTTAAAGCCTGTGGAGCTGTAGCTACCTCCCAGAGGGATCTGAGATACTATCTACAGGCCCCATTTCTCCCTCAGTGCTTCACTGCATGCACAGTATGCCCCTGTACTGACACAGAGGATATTTTGGGTCTGGAAGCTGGTGTTGGGCCCCTCCTATCTGCGGAGGAGGCCCTGGTGACAGCAGCTCAGCTCTTGCTCTGCACAGTGAAGCAGCTCGCGTAGGCAGCGGGCTGCGCTGGCCGGGCTCTGCGATTTGCTGCCACCTGAGGGGGTCCCCTCTTCAGCACACGCATTCAAGAAGCCTCCCATTTTGGCTAAGTTTCTTATCACACTTCATCAAGTCCAGCTCTGGGGCTCATAATGTAGCATCTGCCCTCAACTCTTACCCTCAGGCAACTCTCTAATCTCTTTGACATGCTCATTCTGTTTAGTGGCCTTTCTTTACAAATGTCTTTTGTGTTTTGATTCCCCTCCTTTGTGTGAGGATTCCTTCTCTTTCTTTCTGCTGTCCCGCTTGTGCTTGCTAGCTAGGTTCTCTATGTAATGCTATTAGACTGGGATAATCCATGCTTGGCTTATCTGTGCAACTGTCTCTGAAGATTAGTGAAAACCAGTGTTATGGGCTAGATAAACAGTGAACTGGTTCAGAAGGGCTCTTTCTTCTGTCAGTCTGGAAATACTCAGGAAAATGACGGCAGATTTTCATTAACCAGATTGGAGTGTAATGTCTTGTAACTTACTTGAGTTCAGTTGGGTAAAAATGCCCCAAGGACCCAGACCAACTGTAGTGCAATAATTTATACCCAGTTCACTTCTACCGGACTGGACAGAACTGAAATCAGCTTAGTGTGAATGTGGCAAAGTGCCCATGGAACATATGTGGTGCTGGTGTTTGTTAATGAACCGAGCTTGGTGTTGGACAATGGAGGGTTGTTTTGGGTTGTTCTCCCAGCTACCGAGTTTGGATTCCCTAGTAGAGGCTTTCCAATAATTTGTGCAGCTGGTGATCCAGTTTGAGGCCATCTGCAACACTGGTGCCAAAACGTGCTCCAGTCACATCTACAGTCCTAATCTGAGTTTAAATGTACTGAATGTATGAAGACGTGAAAGACAAAACCCTTGTCTGCGCTGCTTTATTTCTTCGATATCTCTGCTTGCTCTCGTTGCATGCGGATATCCTGCGGTGTTCGGGATCCTCGCAGAGAGGACAGCAGAGGCTCTCAAGTGCTGCAGGTGGACTGGCCAAAGCTCTGTAAATAGCACCCTCTCTGCAGCAGCTGGGAGGACAGCACAGAAGTGGCTTTTTCTTTCCCCTACATTAGTGGTAGGCCGTTCGGTGGTGAGAGATGGGCTTCTTGCTGGCAGCTGTTGGGCTTTTGGTGGTTTTGTGAAGCCAATGGCTTAGGGAGCTGGCAGTGCTGGGGAGGGCGGTCTGCCTCGCAGGCTTGCTCTGGGGAAGGGAGCCACAGTCCCCTGCAGTGAGATCCCATTTCTAAATCTCTTCGCAGGTGTGGAATGTGCTGTTAACATCAATGAGTGTGAGGAGGGTCCCTGCAAGAATGGAGCTGTCTGTGAGGATGGCATTGCTGACTATACCTGCCACTGTGCCCCTAGCCAGGATGGCATTATATGGGGAGGGAAGAACTGCTCTGTGAAGCTCACTGGGTGCCAGACGCATGACTGTCAAAATGAGGCCTTGTGCATCCCAACCTACCTAGCTGAGAGCCATGGCCACCTGTGCCAGTGCCAGCCTGGTTTCTATGATGCCACATGCTCCACACCAACAACGTTTTCCTTTGCTTCCAGAGGGTATCTCCTCATTGAGCTGCCCATGAACAATGAGAGCAGGAGGGACGTAGCAGGGGATCAGCTGGCCAGCGTGTCCCTCCGGTTCCGAACCACCTTGTCCAGCGTCATCCTTTTTTACCGAGGCCATGAAGCTGAGTACTTGTTCCTGGAGCTCTTTGATGGCGTTCTGCATGCAGGCCTGAAGAGGGAGGATGTTGAGTCCCTGTTGGTCCTGGAAGGGCTGCGAGTTGATGATGGCCACTGGCACAAAGTTGAAGTTCTTCTGCAAAGCACTGTGCAGCTAAAGCTCTGGCATGACTCTTGTGACGCAGGTGTCTGCCTGCAGAGCACTCCCGTCGGGAACAGCACTGCTTGGAGCCCACATGCCTTCCAGAACGTGTACGTCGGAGGCGCTCCCGATCCCATGGCCAGCAACACGCGGAGCCGGCAGGGCTTTGTCGGCTGCCTGCAGGACCTGCGGGCGGATCGGGAAGCTTTGCTCCCGCAGCATCTCCCTGTGGGCCAGTCGGCCCCGCTGGCTCTGGGGTGTGACAGGACAGAGTGGTGCCTCTCACAGCCTTGCTCTCATGGAGGGCTCTGCGTGGACCTCTGGGCATCCTTCCGCTGCGACTGCTCGAGGCCGTACGGAGGCCCAACTTGCTCCTATGGTAAGTGCCAAGCGATGATGCACATCTGCCAGTCAGTGCTCCAGAGATCCCAGGTAAGTGTTGATGCTAGCTCTGGAAGTGCTGTTTTCTGCTTGACTGGAGAGAGAGCTAAAGCAGAATCTTCTGTAAATAAAATGTTCATTAAGCTCTTTTCTGTCACCGGCTCCTGCAGAAATGATTGTCAGCTTCGTGATGCAGACATTATTCCTTGTTGAACCAGAGGCTCTGACCTCGTCTTTGAATCTGATCTAAGTGATTACAGGAGGGCAGTGAAGTTGTTTCACTACAAAAAGCTGTTACTTGAGCTTCTGCCTAGAGGGTGAAAAGGAATGTGTTATAGATAAAAACTGTTAAGGAAAGCTTTCTGACAAGTCTGGGATAAAATCATTCCCGTTTGCATTTTTATGCTCCTGCAAGGCTTCTATTAATATTGTTGTTGCATTTTTTTTCTCTCCTTTGTCCTAAGCATAGCAAGTAGAGAGTAGCTCTGCTGTTATGGGATTTACAAAATTTAAAAGGAAGGTTATAGCTTAAAATTCCCCTAATAAATCTGCTAGGTGGCAAGGGTCCTGCTAGACCTGCTTTCTTGCATCTGCTACTTGTCTGCTCTGAATTCCTTGCCTTCCAAAGAGAGCAAGGACACATTCACCTGCTTCCTAATTTCCCAGACCTTCGCAGGGAGAGAGCATAATTGCTCTCAATATGTTGGAAATGTTTGAAAGAAGGGTCATGCCCCATTCATAAAGGGTTGCAGCTTTGAATGTCCCAGTGTCAGCTGCCTTCTCTTTGTTGCAGAACTCATGTGCCTTTCTTTTCTTTTCCAGAGCGCCCAGCAGCAACATTTGGCCTGGAGAATTCCACCAGCTTTGCCTCTTTTGCCCTTTCTGACAGCCTTGGTGCAAATTTCAACATCTCCTTTTTCATTCGTAGTCTGAAACCTAATGGTCTGCTTTTACAAATCAGCAACGAAACCGGCCCCTGCCTCACCATGTACTTGAAGAACAGCAAGCTGAAGATTGAGATGTCTGCAGATACTGTGACCTTTCCAAAAAACGTAGTTGATGGGAGAAGACACTTGGTAGCTCTGTCTTTCCAAGACGGAGTGGTTCGTGCCCATCAGTCAGAGGGAGATGTGGAGCTAGGGCAGCTTGTAGCTAGACCTCTTCTAGCTGGCTATGAGGTGCATGTTGGTGGACATCCTAACCCAGACAGCACTGCTGACTGGGGAGGATATTTTAAAGGCTGTTTGCAAGATGTGCAGCTAAACAACCTTGAAGTACAGTTTTTTCAGGCTGAGAACTACAGTCTGCCACAGGACCTGAATAGAGCTCAAAACACCAGTCTTGTGAATGGCTGCATCTCTGATGACACCTGTAAGGTAGGAAGCATATTCTAATGCCAGCAGTTGTCAAATGCTTCAATTAGATGAGCTTGAACCTGCAGGGATTGGTGACTTTCCTTTTTGTTTCTAATAATTTCGAATTGCTTTTAGCTTATGGTGATTCTTCTCAATTGTGTGTAATTAATCAGCAATTACTTATGTCTGTGAGAGTCATCTTAGCACACAGATAGACAGTATTTCCTTGCTCTTCCCCCACCCCCCTTTGCTTCTCCCTCTGCCTTTTTTTTTCCCCTGCTGAAACATGGGCAAAAAGGAAGAGGCTGCGACAGGAGGGGAAGCAGGAAAGGAGTGCTCCAGAGCATCTGCTGCCTGTAATTGTAGCCTCACTCCCATTATGTAACTTTATCTCTCTTTGCCTATTTCATAGTATAACTTTCCAAACCTGAAGGCTGCAGATTTCTCTAAAAATGCAAAACATGGGAAAACTGCTCGGTATTGACTTAGGCAAACATTTGCTTTGACTTAAGCACATGCAAACAACCAAAAAGCTTAGCCAGAGAAGAGCAGTATCTGGTAGACCCTCAACGTCAGGGGCTACAGCAACAAGAGCAGGTGAGAATGTGGTTCCCTTTCCCCCAGTCAAGTAACTAAATACGAATCATCAGTAGCCTAGTACTGCCTTGTGGTTTGACTCAACAAAAACACTTTCACAGGGGAGCTTCAAAGACTGGTGTGTCCAACACCACACTTACTATATCTGTATGTGTCTGAATCCATAGGTTTTGCAGCAGGCTGAAGGTCAGCCTGTTCAGACCATTAGCTGTATGGGTGAGATGCTCTCTGAAGCATGAGGTCCTTGCACGTGTCCTGCCTGCTGCTCTTTTCCAGGCTTATGGAGCTACCTGGAGAGTTTCTGTAGGTCAGCAGTGCACACAGGGAAAGGTGGCATCTCAGAAGTTACTTATTCAGAGGCCTTTTTGCTTCCTCCACTGCCACTGAATTTCTATTTTAATTGCACTTCTTTCTGATTCAAACACTGCTTGTATTATTCTCTTTTGTCACGCTTCCTCTTACCAAATTCTCTTAGATCCAAAATGAACTATGCTGCTCCTAAATTCACCTGTCCTGTTTTTCAGTCTGAGCCATGCCAGAATGGGGGCAGATGCATCGTCACTTGGAATGATTTTCATTGCAGCTGTCCAGCAAATTTCACTGGGAAATTCTGTGAAGAGAGAGTGTGGTGTGAAAGTGACCCATGCCCCGAAGCTACCACCTGCGTCGACGTTCCAGCGGGATATGTGTGTAAGTGCAGTTCTCCTTTAGCATTTATGTCCACAGCCAGGCTGTATTCCCAGCTCACATGGTTGCAGTACCTCTAAGCGTGCGTAAGGCCATTAATGCCCAGGCAGCAGGCCCTGTGGATTTACCACCAGTTTGGAATAGAGCAAACATGGTGCTTAAAGGTGTTTTCTTCTGTTACTTTGATTTGATCAGGGAAGAACCTGTCCATTTTCCTGGGATAATTACCCATCTTATTACCACTGCAGTGCAAAGACCATCCTGTTCTCTGCAATGTTCATCCATTTCTAGACTCTCAGGTTATTTCACCAAGTAGCACGTAAACAATTATGTATTGTAAATGTGTCTTAATTTTCACCTATGGCAGAACCCTGGGAAATGAAGAAAACTAGTTAGATAATGATGATCTAATGTGGGAAGAATATTTTCTCCTGGATCACAGGATGCCAGGGTGCTCTGACATGGGCTTTTTCACTGGCCTTGAATGTGTTGTTTTCCTGACTTATAGGGGGTGTTTTGGCAATAAAATGGGAGGATAATTGCATCTTTGTGCAGTGCTTTGAGACTGATAAATAAAAATGGCTACACAAGAGTTGGATATTTCTGTTAGAGGTGCTAGTGTAAACAGAAAGAGCTTTAACGGGGCCAGTGGCCAGGCCTTTAATCCTGCTCACACAAAGCTTGCATGATTCCCAAGGGGGGGAACCTGCCAGGAGTTTGCCATTGGTCTGACTCAAACAGGACACTGACTGTCTTCCAAATCCCTTATGCTCTTCCCCTTTATTTATAGGTCTGGCTAATGCAACATTTAATAGTTACGCTGCCGTTGAATTTACCACCAACACATCAGTGACGAGAACTCTGAGCAGCCTCCACCTGGATTTCAGAACGAGGGATGAAGATGCTGTTTTGCTGTGGGCTGTGGAAGAAGTGGATTCCCTCCAGATAGCCATTAGGAACGCCTCCCTGGCTGTCAATATCAGAAGTGGGAATAGCATTGAAGGGGTCAGCTTCCTGAGCCAGATCCTGGTCACAGACGGTGCCTGGCACACGATCTCCGTGTCCATGGAAGAGCCAACTGCACTGTCTTCCAGATGGCTGCTTTGTCTGGACGGGTCTGTTAATATGACCCTGCAGGGAAATGCTGGGAACTTGGACTTCCTAAAAAACAATGCGCCAATAGTTCTAGCTGAAAATTACACGGGCTGCCTCGGACAAGTGACGATAGGGGGCATCTCCCTCCCGCTCGGT